GAGAGAGAGAGAGAGAGAAAAAAAGTCTTTCGAGAAAGACTGCTGCACCCACATCTTACCACCTGCCCCGCCTTCAAACCCGGCAACTGTATCTGCTTACCGCCGGGGTCTAGTTGCGCTGGGATTGAGCAACATAAATCTTGATTCGAGGATCCTTTGCCGCCTTTGCCTTCGCCGGGAGGACGAGGCCTTGCTGGCTCCGGCAGACCAGGCCTGAAAAAGCCTATAGGGCCACAGTTCCTTCGTTGACACAGGAGGGTTCGCACAATCACAGCTGAACTAGTCACTTGCCATGCATGATCGATTTGGGTCAGCACTGTCAGTGACTGTATGTCAGCTCAAGCCAAGGCAAGAGTCGGCTCTAAAGCAAAATTCCCTTTGGGGTGGTCTGTGGATTCAACCAGCTCCAATGCCCTCTTTGGGTCTTTTGCTGACGGAACTACTCGTACGAAGCAAGAAGCTTACTGGCTTGTTTCGCATCTGAAAGGAACAATCCTGACCATGCCAGGAGCAAGGCGGCCTTGATCGGCTGGCGACTGTCCTGGATACAGTGGCTTGGCTTTGAAGTTTAGGACCTTCAGGATTTCGGACGGAGATGTGAGTACTATGGGCACAGAGCTACTGTTCTTGACAAGTGTTGGTACCGTATGACAATTGCAAAATTCAGCGTGTGGCATGAAAGGTCAGGTGTGCACGTTAAGTCTGTCTCATGCAGAACTCCCTCAGGATTGGCAATGATGCCAACGTTATTTAATTCAGCGCTGGTCTGCCCCGAACCCGCGAAGGTTTCATGGAAATACTGGAAGCCCGGTGAGCAGCCTGCGCAGATGCCTGGCAAGTTATGAGTCCAATGTTACTGTGCGCTGGCCTGTGTCGTTACATGTCGCTTCCGGCAGCCATGCCGAAGAGGCCAAAATGTGAATGCTAGCCCGAAAAGGACAAAAATCGCTAAGGATTTTAGATTGGATGTTCCTCGGGGACTTGAAGGAGGCCAGACCTGATACACGGCCCGTGGGATACTGTTGCTGGCTTGTTCAAGCCTGCTTCAGGCTGCTCTGCCGTTGAAACCAAAGCCCCTCGCAATGAGCCGAGGCGACCGACTTCGAGCTTCTACAACGCCAGAACATCCGAGCGGCGGCTGGTTCGCGAAGAGTCGAAGAGTTCTGGACTCGGGATATGGCTTAGATGCCCGGCTTTCAAGGTGTTGAACCTGATCAACTGGTGGGAGCTGAGCTCGCGACTTCCCGAGGCTCCAGCTCAGATTTTGCTTTTGGCCTCTGAGACTTCTCTTTCAAGAGTCCGGCCTTTTCTGTCGGGAGGTCTCGGATTTCACATCGCTCTACTCCTCGCACGACGTCGAGTTTCTGGAGGTTGACTCGGAGGCAAGCCGACCTGCAAGCCCTATGACAGCCGAAACGTACCCCTTGAAGCAGGATCGGTTATTCTTCGATATTGTCGAAAAATGCTTCCCATCCGAAGTTATGTGAGTCAAACACAGAGCATTGGCCGTGTCGTCCACATGCGCAACCTTGCGGCCTTGTCGGCTGGAGTCATTTCGCTTCCATTTTAAGGCTGGCCTCCATGTGAAGTTTTCCTTCGACGGTGCAAAGCTTCGGGTCATCGAGTTCTGGTCAATTGCAAAGCCGGACACAATCGATCCGCTGCTCGGCACATCCGACAAGAGGGTGCACGGTAGCCATCTACTTCCGCTGGCACCGCACGGTCTGGATATGGAACGAGTCCATCGAGCCGTCTTCCGAACACTGTCGAAACTGAGGCATGCATGTGCGTATGTTGGCTGGTGGTGCATGAGGCCGGATTGTCGAACCTGCACCCAGATGGACCTGTGCGCTGCTTGCAATATCAAGCTGTCCTTCCAATCACCCTAGCCTGCGCAGGGTATGACCCTTATGGATGCCGTGTCTGGGCACAAATATGGATGCGGTTTCTTGCAGCCGGCCGGCTTCTCCGACCGTAAGGTCGAAGCTATACAATGTCGGCGAGGCACGATTCTCTCCAACCATGGCTTTCGACTCCAGGCCCGCACATGCACAGCATGTCACACGTAGACAGTCGATGAACCAGGTCAGTACTGTACCCATTTCAAGACTGTTGAAAAAGTAAAATGGGGTGCATCTCTTCGATGAGACGGGATGCTACCTTCGCCCGAAGAGATACGAAGAGCATGCAAGTGGTCATGACTCTTGCATCTTCTTGCGGCGAGTCTGCCGACGCCCCTCTCATGACTCTGGGACATGCAACTCACAAGACTCTGTTGCTCTTCTCAGCTGGTTCGCCTGGCACTTCGCTACAATCGGCTGGGCGACGTCGAGTTCGCGCAGAAGTGGACAGGACAGGTCGGGCGCATGCCAAGGCTCGGGAGCTTCCATGAGGGAGGGCAGTTGGACGGGCTCCAACTGGCAGATGGTATCAGAATGAGTAACCTCCTGCCGTCAGAGCCCGGAAAGTGAACCCAGCAAGTCAAGGAGTCCACCCCTAAAGTTCGAGGCGACAGGATAAAGACAGGCACGAGACTCCGGCGGGCAGGCGCACATGCCCCCCTGTGCGAGGTCCTTATTTAAGCCGAGCAGCGGCACACGACTCGACAGTATCATCCATCAGTTGCTCGGCTCTGTTCAATGGAGAGTCAGCTTCTTGTCGGGTGATCGGTGTTTGTCAGCAAGCTGAGACGCCTCAGACGTAAATCATGTGGTTTCGGGCAGGAAGCGAATGACGGTACAGTACGACATCAAGCCGGATCAGGAGAACACTACAAGGCTGCACCTCAGCAAGCGATGCACTTTTGGAGTACTGAGTACATACTGTACCTCCCCTAGTTGCCACTGATAGCAAGACAGATTCAAGATGAAGGTGTAGTTCTGAGACTGCTGGATGTTGTTCCTGGCGCTGGAATTGGTAGAGTACCTGCTAGAAGCGATGGAGGTTCGAGCGATCGTGACCTGCTTGCCCTGAAACTGGGGTGCACCATCATTGCTTCCGCTGCCTGCCAGCTCCATGCGAACATCCTTGCAGACGATGCGGCCTAGAAAGCTGTCCTTGATTTCAGAGGACCCCCGAGATGTGACCAGCGCCACCAATGCATGAGCAGCAGCAACTGAGCCTGGCGTCCAGGAAGTGCGCAATGAACTCAATCAGCGTGTCTCTCGGCCCGGTTCATGGAAATGTTATGAAATGTTGATGGCACTGTCGAGGACGTGCATGGCTAACCTCGTGGAGGTGTCGAAACTAGCACGAATCAGTGTGTACGTGCCCTTCCGTTCCGCAACGTGGCATACCGAGACAGCATGGACGAACGCAGATGATACGTCGAGTCTCATGTCCTTGCCGGGGTACGGCACAACTGCAACTAATTATGCAGAGCCGAAGCAATACCCAAACATGACCTGTTTAGCAGAGACACTGGCCAGTGTTGAGGCTTTGAAAATGGAGCTCCTAGCTTGCCTCTACCATCGCGGTAAGAAGTTCCTGGAGGACTATGAGTCTCCCGGCATTAGCTGCAAAACGTTGCAGCGCGCGGCTGCAGAAACGTAGACTTTCTTGCATTCCTCTCTATGAGGTATACATCGCATCCGCCCCTTGGCAGTAGTAGTGGGTTACATCCGTGGCTGTAGCTGTTTGCAGCAGTTTTGGCTGATCTGCGGCTTCGTGTTGTCTGACGCGCAGATACATGATGGTACATCTGCACACCTCGGCTGTCCGATGTCCTGTCACCGAAAATAAAGATCCCCGTTGCAGCAGGTCTTGCAGATATGCAGAGAGCTGCTGAGAGCATCTTAAAGCCGAATGCGAGGCCAACTGTTATCGGCAGCGGCTTTAGCGGCGATGTCTTCCTGTGCCGGACTGCCGCCCCGATGCAAAGCAACTCAGAAGTGAATTCTAGGACTTAGGATCACCCTCCAAGCTTGCAGGCCACATGTCATCGTGGCTCCTCAGCACACCACTGCGAGAATCAAGAACCTTGTAGATTCGGCAGGAGAAAAGAAAGAGCCGCTGTCCGGCAGAACAAAGAGACCTACGAGCGGTGCGTCAAGATGTTCGACCTTTCGCGGCCACTGCGCAAGAACTAGAAGAGAAAGGGTCTCTTGCACTCTTGGCTGCGCAGTGCAGACGAATGAGATCTTTAAAGAAAAGGTTTTCGTAGCAAACACAGTGCCCAAGAGTCAAAGTGTTCCTTGCTGCAGGATGAGCCCGGAGAAGTTGGACAAGCTGAAGAACGCTGCTTCACCTCATTGATGGGAGATGACGAAACCGTTGTACTCCTTTATTTCACAGCATGTGTTAAGACCATGTACAGTACCCATGCCTGGATGAACTCGCAGATCACTAGAAACAAACGGCTGAGGAGGCGGTGATTTACCTTTCCCTTGAACATCCCAATATTGCGCGGCTCTTTGATGTCTACGAAGATGAGGAGCAGGCCTTGTCGTTCGTCATGGGGCTTTCGGCACGAAAGACCAGCTGCCAAGCATCTTCTGGTAGAGCATTTTCAGCTGTCTCTACTTTACCGTGTTGAGAGGTCAGGTATGGTCATTCCGTTCACAAGCTGCAGGGAGAAGTCTGCTGCTTCTGCAGGTCAGCTTGGTGATGCAGTTCTGCTCTGGAGGCATCGCAACATCGAGTATGCCGACAGACATACGACATGATGAGACACATCTGCAGGGACTTGGGGTTGTCTGTAGCATGCTTGGATTTTTGGATCGTGAGATGTATCGTCTGCACTCGTCGTTTCTTCGGTGCCTTGCATTTCATGCTCGAATTCTCTTTACCATCGGCCGAGTGCACACAGAACCGAGCGTGAACCTCGACACGGGACATGCTTCCTGCGACCAATCGCTGTATGGGAGATACAAGACAGTTCTGAGACCATGCTGCTTTGGTGGCGGCAGTGAGAAGGAAGGCAGCTTGATGCGAATGTGTACAGGCACCTTGGAGAACGCCATCCGAACCAATGGAGCTTTCAGCGAGCCCCAGCCCGCTGTCTGCAGTGCAGACAGAGCTGACAGCGATGTCCAGATCCTTTTGACATGTTTTGAGAAACCAAGGTTTCAAGAAATTGCTGCTACTTGGGCTGCAACCCAGGGTGTGACACGAAGATTGGGAGATTTTGGCATTGGATGAGGTGCCGATGCTGATGGCCATCAACTACATCCACCGCGCGGGGATCGTGCACCGAGACATAAAGCCACGTAATTGGGTCTACGAGGCGCGAGCTGCAGCTTGTGGAAGCTTAGACATGAAGACCGAAACAGGCTGATGGTAAAACGATCAAGCTCATCGACTTTGGCTTCAGCGTTAAGGGCTTCCTCGGAAACGAAGGCCGCGTTGTTGCAGTGACAAACCCATATGCGGCTTCCAGAAGCAAGGAGCATCAGCCGCTTCGAGTTGTCAGACCGGTTTCTGCTCCTGACTCTGCCACAGCCATCCTGTCCTCACATGCTGGCAGGAATTGAAGTTCGATCGTGAAGCGAATTCGCGAGAGCGCATCTCAAAGTCTCAAAGTTCGGATTCTCGTGACATTCTGAGCCAGGCTCCCTTCAAGGCTGTATGGGAACGCTGGGCTACCTCGCCCCCGACACTTGGGCAGCCTGGGCACTGCTAAACTTCCTCGAATACAAATCCCCACGCTGCTAAAGCGCTGTTCTATGTTCCCTGTGAACGAGGAAGTAGTTCTTGCGGGGCTGAGCAGCGACAATGCCTACACTGAGACCCGGCCTTGTTAAACTGTGTCATGGTTGCATCTCTACCTCTTTTCCCTGCGCAATTCATGCCGAACCGCAAGAAGACTGGAAAGCCATGCCCAGATGGGCGGTTTTGTTGGGGCACCTGTCTTGTTTAGCCACTGCTCCGACAACAGCAGGAGAGGGAAAGCTCAGAAAGCACTGGTGGCCCTCCTAGAGAGTCAAGACAGTTGCTGCGTCATTTCAGTATAGGAGCTCTGACATTATGCCCGGCGATGCAAATCCTGACGCTTGTGGTTCGTGGCCGTGATGCTGCTACTGTTATTGTTTGTGCATGAATATCGTGATCCACCGCGGTCAAGCGATGCACGCACGTGGTAGGGCATGAGCTCTTCTGGTAGGTCCTCTGCATGGTGCTAGAATCAGAAGCTATCCCAGAAGCGAAGCTTGTCAGTGCTTCCCAAGATTTCCCAAGGACAAGTGCGACATATGGTCCTTGGGTGTCGTCTTCCTGGAGCTGCTGACGGGTGAACCCGCATTTCACAGAGATGCGGGGCAATGCGATGGGTACACGGATGCTTGGACGGCGTTGCACTGTTCTTCGCTACACTTCGTTTCTGCACGCTGGGGATCGCTGGGGCCCATACTTAGCATGAGCCCGTGAATTCGTGAATTCGCTTTAGTTGAGGGTAAAGATACCCATGTCCCACATTTACAACAAATGGCTGCAAATCTCGTCCCCACGCATTTACACAGGATGCCTCCCACCTTTGATCGAACAAATTGAATCGCCGCAGTACTTGAAGGAAAGGAAAACGGGTGCCGTACTTGCAGCATCGGCTCCAGGAAGTCTTGCTCTAATTCGCGGTTGTTGGCTCGCACCTCCCGGCAAAAGGAAAGAGGGATCACCATCCAACCAAAAGACTGCGAGAAAGTGGAGGTTCTAGGTAACCAAGTTCCAAGCAGAGTGTAGAAAACCAATTCTGAGCACAGCAAATCTCTGACTTGAATATATATATATATATGTCTTTAGTGCTGTCAGTGCCTGAAAAGAGTTTGCTTAAGCAGCCTCAGTGTTGTCCAGTGTTGTCCATGCCTTGGAAGTTTTTTCAACTGCAAAGTAAGACTGAATGTTGAGAGCTTGCGTTGTCAGTTTTCCCTTTTCAAGAAGCTTGCTTCTTTCTGTGCTGGAAAAAACGCTGTTTACATTCGTTTCTCTTTTTGACTCTCCGAAAGTTGTAACGTACAGTCTTTGTGGCGAAACAGATAATCGCGCGGCGTGGCAGAAGGGATGTAGACAAGGTAGGTGCACGAAGGAAAGCAAACAGAACGATAACACTAGAAAAAGGTAACCTGTGAAAAGCCTCGCAAAGTCCTCACTGTTGTCCAACAAAGAAGACTTTCTGGTCAAACCCAAACACAGGATCAAGCTCCTGCAAACAGGAAGAATAATACTGCCTTTACGAGACGCCAGAAGAGATCCGACGTCCACGTTGTGACCCATATAGCACCGCATATTTCTTTTACAGGTCGAGCTACATACACCCTGAGCAGTCCAAACAAGCACCGTCCAAGCCCTCACGTGCATAGGACTTTGCTTAGGGTGCTTGGCAAGCGTACTTCGGGGAAACACACCATTGCGCGGCGGCACTAGACAACGAGGCTGCTCCATGTTACCCGTTGCACACCCATCTTTCACCCCCTTTTTGAAGCAGAGCACATGATCCTGAAGCTAGTTGCTTCACTTTGCAGAGTTCTTCAGGTTTGATAATTCGCTCGTTCGGACATGTTCGGACCGAGTGGTGCAGCAGCAGTGCCAAAACATATTCCCTAATGGTCTCGCTTTGTTGGCTCAATCACAATGCTTAGGATCAAAGTCAAAGTGAGCACTAAAGAACTCGAGACCACTCGAGATGGCAACTGGTTGCGACCCGTATTTTCCCGAGCAAAGCGATCCACCGGCCCGACGATCCTGGGTTCCTGGTTCTGATGGCATGCTTCAGGTTTGGTTTTTCACTGTCTGAAGGGGATCTCCGAGGGCACAAGCGGGGCTTGTCAGATCCTTCTCCGACGCATCGTGCCGAGGAAGAGGTTGTGCTCAGAGAGATCAAGGAAGTGACAGAGGTTGGGCTCGGCTGTTATTTATCACTTGCCGACTTCAGTGAGGTTGGTGAACTTGCAGGGCACTTCAGTCTCGCCTAGAAGCAGCCTGCCAAATGCCGAGCCTGCCATGAGTGAGCGTCTGAATCACTCTGATCAGAAAGCATGTTTTCTGTTCTAAGGCATAGGGTCGTTTTTTTGGCGGGCTTGTCGTGCTCATGATGTTGTAATGAGGGGGCTGCGCTGCTGCATTGGGACCACCCACGAATCCATCGTCACGATGTGGCAGGAGTCTGTGGCAAAGATCTTGGACCCACTCCCCGAAGATGTTGCGACCCTGCTGCGGCGAATGCTTACACGGGAGCCGGTGACAAGGCGTGAGCGGAGTTGTGCAGCAGACAGCCATCACGGATGAGCTGAGTTCAACCAAATGGTCATGGTAGCGCAGCACTGGACAGAACAGCTTCTGCAAGGCCTTCTGCAGCAGAATGCTTGGACGATCCATACCTTGCCCACGCAAGGGACAGGCCCGTTGCGGTCATACACTAGAAATGCAAAGCGCTGTTGGATGACCCTTTCGTTTTAGCATGTTTCCAAGCCTAGAGGTTCTGCACGCCGCTGTCAACAAAAACGAATGCAAATTGCATGACGGAGGTTGAAAGATCCACCGCGGGCACTGCCTGTGCGGACAATTCTAGATCGGCTTCCTGGCAGCAGTGAGCACAAGGCTTGGCTTGTTTCGCTGCAATGGGCTTGGAGCTTGAGCACTTTTTCTTTCAGGAAGGCGGGTCCCTTCTGACAATCGCTTCAGCGCACGAATGCAAGGTCTTTAGCTGGTAATTAACCTGCAGCTCCGGCTTTGGTTGCTTTGGTTTCGATATGCGGAGAACTGAATCAAGTCGCGAAAGGTTTTCGGCTGTTCGCGTTGTTCTGCACTTTTTGTGGGTTTTTCTGCTTTGCGCTCTGCACTTTTAGGACTTTTCTGGGCGCGTTTCGCACTTTTTCGGGTCTTTCGGGTTTTCTGGGCTTTTCGATCCTGTGGGTGCTTTTCGGGCTGTTTGACTGTTCTGCGTTTTCCGCACTTTTCTGTACTCTTCTGGTTGTCCGGGTTTTCGACTGTCCGCGTTCTTCTAGTTCGAGTGGTTAGGTAGTTTTCAGCTGTTCCTAATCGCGGTTCGCTTCGCTTGTCGATGTTTCCACACAAAAGCTCCAGGCCAGGCTAGGGGTAGCCCTATGTAGCCCTAGCAAGGCCCGAGTGGCCCAGCGCAAGAGGCCAAGAGGTTAACCTGGATTGGGGATGATAGGGGTTGTAAGGGCTAGTGGAGAAAAATGAGCCTAAATAATTACCGTAAATGTAGGTCTAGGCTAGGGGCAGGCCCGAGACAGCAGTATAACGAGTGAGTAACAATCTGTAATCGTAGTAGCAGTGTCACTAGTCGAGTCACCAATAAGTAGCCGCAGCCAAAACATAAGTATTTTGGCTGAGCTTCGGGTTAGGCGAATTCTTCAAGTGTGCTCATTCAATGTTGTTCGACAAGTTGGGTTCTTCCAACCAGCACTTCAGCACCCAAAACAAAAGGAATTTCGGTCTGTTGTTCGGGTCTTATGCCCGCAGCTGCATGTTTCAAGTCAAGATGTGTTTTTGCATCCAGGATTTGTCCCCTCACATAGAAGTTTCCGACTCGCAAGCTTCAGTGCTTTCGTGTTCTCAACGCACCTACAGCGAACAGAGCCTTTCGTATGTTGTTGTGTTTTTTCAGATTTTGGGGGACCCAAGAAAAACTTCGTGTCTACGCAAGCACCAACGAGTGCTAAGACAAAGGCAGGCAGTTCGATTTGTATTTTCGGGCCTGAGGAGCCAGCAGAGAACCTTGTGCGCGCCGAATTCCATTGATTTTTGATCATTCTAGGCATCCTCGAAACACCTGAAAGGAACGAAACCATAGGTATAGTTAGTTTTTCTGGTTTGAGGAACCCATAAATGACAACTCTCAATGTGTCGAGTTTTCGCCTTCTACGAAGACTGTGCAAGATGTATGGACTGCCGTGCCTGATGCTATTTCTGTTTCATCACAAGTGCATTCTCACCTCCAAGTGTGAGGCCTTTTTGGACCCAGGTTCAAATCCTGCACCTGCTGGAACCGGCAACCGACATGACTACTGCATGTCGACAAACCATATCAACCAACCCACCTTTGGCCGAACCCCTGGTGGACAGACAGACAGAAGACTAAAGAAAGCATGAAATTTTCTCTGTGTGCATATGTATATATGTATGTATGCATGCATGCATGTGCGTATGTATTAGTTTCTACACAACCTACATATATATACATACATGCATACATTTCACACACGTACATGCGGATATAAAAATGGGGGGATGCTGTCGCAGTCAGACAACGTGAACAAGGTCGGGAATGAAGCTGTTGGTGGTAGTGGTAGTTTGGACAGTGATAGTAGTCGTGGCGGCGGTTGTCGTGGTCGCAGCAGGAGGAGCAGTCGGTGGAGTAGGAGTGGGAGTCGCACTGGCACTCCCATGACTTGTACCAGTTCACTAGTTTACTTTTGTACTAGTACTAGTGGTAGTGCTCGCACTCGTACTAGTACTAGTGCTGCTGCAGCCGCTGCTGCTACTACGACTACGATTATTACCATTAGTATGATGAGTTTTATTACGACTACGACTACGACTACTACTACTACTACTACTACCACTACTACTACTACTACTACTACTACTACTACTTCTACCACCACCACCAC